GAACAAAAAGTTGAAGACGCAAGAGAAGAATTAGAACTTGCTTTGATTGCTTGTGAAATTAGCTATTTATTTGAAACCAAGGAATTATAATTATATTCTTTTTGAAAATGTACGGTTTGGTATTATTTTAAATTTTTTTACGAAAAAATAGGAATACATGGAAAATACCAAGTGGTAGCACACATAACTTATTAATAATTACCCTGGTAATAACCGACTAATTATTTAGTAATTAGTCGGGTATTATTTGGCTAATTATTATTAATACACCTGAAGAAAATATGTGGAAACACCGTTAAGTGGTAGCACACAAACGACGTCACACACTTACAAAAACGGCGGCAAATTCGAACACAACTCACTTCGGTCGACCAAGGCTTTGGGTTAGGAGCTCCGCCACGCATGTGCGCACGCAACCGACACACAACACCACACACACACCCACCTGTCAATCACACACACATGAGCAAGACTCGAAAAATAGGAACGCCCCTTTTAAATTATCCCCCCCGTCCGTACAGTCAGCGGTCTCAACCTTTTGCGCCCGCGATACTTTCACTTCCCATTCAAAGCTCCAGTTAAATTAAGTTGGTTCACACACCCCCTTTTTTTTTTTTACTTTTCTTTTATATTACTACTATATGTTATGCAGATACGTTTTCCACATTATATTTTTTATTTATATTTATTTAGGGGACAATTGCTATGTGTACTGATTTTTAAATTAATATGAGAATTTGCTTTGAAATATTCGGTAATAATGGCAACTTTATTTATTGAATATTATTAATATTAATAATAATTTGCAAAGCATGTTCAACTAATGTAAGGCTTTGTTTACTTTAGTTTGGAAAAAACCTGCAACTTAACCAATTTGGCCAAATTGTGGTCACACAATTTAATGAAACAGAAGAGCCACCAACTAAAGTACGATGATTGGAGCAAAACTTTGAGAAGGAATCCTCCCACTCAACATGCCCTGAAGACGACACTCACTTTAATCATGAAAGCATTGAGAATACCACATATCCAAACCATAACATTTCTGCTAACAGTTGCATTAACCTGAACCATCAGTCCAGCATTAACATAAACTCCAACCAACAATCCACCACTAACCTATATTACCCAAACCACCAGTCTAATACTAACCCTAGCCGAGTCCAACAGCTGACTATTAGCCTAAATCCAGGCCACCAATTCACCATAAACCCTAGCCGAATCCAACAGGTTACCATTAGCCTAAACCCAGCCCACCAATCTGTGACCTTAGAGGTGAAAGGCAAGTGCACTAACCGCTTCGCCACTGAAGCCCCATTGGGGGAGGGGGGTCAAACAAGATTCATACTTTCCAACGAAAAGCAACAGCTCAGCCCTAACAAACTTACATCTCGTCCTGTGGTAGAAAGTTGTACAAGAGAAAATATACAGTTTCTGTGTGTCTCAAACACATCTGTTCGCTGTTGGATTTTTCCTGTGGCAACAGCACTAAACAAAATTGATAGTCGACAAAAAAGGGGAAACTTTTCTTGCACCATTATTTCTCTTGTTTTAGGAAAAGTTCTACTCACATTATCTATAGTGTGTCCCGATGATGGTTTTCTATCCGAGCCGTGGTATGGCTTGGTTATCAATTGCATACGTCTTGGAAATCAGATATACGACTCCTCACCTGAAGTCGCCCACAGCCTTCTACATTAAGAGATGTGTCACCGGTTAAACTGGATGCAGCACTCACTGTTCGACTTAAGGATTCGAATAGGACCTCCCAATTTAGCTTCCAAATCAATCAACTGTTAAACGGGCAGGATGCTGCTGTGTTACTTGTATACAGCCAAAGAACTGTAGTGCTGTACAGTAATAAGGATGGTAAAAGCATGCTTATCGATAACCACCAGCATGTATGGTGAGAGAATGGGCCTGTGATCATTAAAGGATTATGTAGTCATTTGCCTCAATCTCTGAACAGTATCCAGGAGGTACTCAGTATGAACGACACTTCATATGCAGAACTAATAGTTTTCTCTTAACCTACTTCATATTATTATAATATTCCGGTGGACCATGGAAGCATATTTCAGATCAATTCTTCCGAATTACGGTTGTATGGCCAGTATCCTGAAAACGATAATCTATACTAAACGTTCCTGTTCATATAAAGTGAATTAGTCATATAAGTTTTGAAATATAGAGCGAAGTCGGAAATTACCTTAAGACGGCCTTACACTAGGAACCCATTGCGTTTCGAACCGTCATTAACTTCATATACATTTTAACTTTGGCATGACGTTTAGGTCAAATGCTTTGAAATTACTAATTAGCGTAAAATTTTATATGAAATGGTGGATTGATTAGAGTTTTTTAAATAAAATCTCATGTTAATTAAATGTTAAATGTTAACGAAGTGACTCATACTTCTTCTGGGAGGGCTAATAGGCAGAGTAGGCAGGGTGAATTTTATCATGGACAATTTGCCTGATGAATACCAAATATGATCTTTCTCTGTAATTACCATATAAGAATGTGGCTAATTCATTAATACCCCCGTCAGTTTAACTGAATAACAACAACATATACAGCAATATGACTTTACTTAAAATTGGTTTAGAAAATAGAAACCACTTCGCTTATTTACATTTGAGCTATTCGCATGTCATGATTTGAGAAGCACGGTAAATAGAGAATTCTACAAAATAAGTAGAGATGATATAAATGCTATGCCTTTCTGCCAGCTGGATCATCAGCAGATTTTTTGCGATTGTTAAATGTTAATTCATGCAAAAATGTATATTAGTATTGGATAAAAGTAACACAATGCGTATGCATGCACTGCCATTCTGCAGTTTATTTCTACAAGTGTAGTACATTTTATAGAAATCAGATTAAAGGCAGAAGAGTTATTTCGATTTCTATCTTTAAAATAGACAATGTTTGACGGGCAATAGCCACCTTAATATATATCAAAAAGTGGTCCTATTTCCACAAAAACTATCTACTGGATATTTAGATTGACGTGTCCAAAACTAAAATCCATATCTGAAAACCGTAAGGAGATATACGTGTGTTTTTACATGTAATTTTGACGCTAAATTTTTTGTAGATTTCTGATCTCAATATTGCAAGTGGATTGACATATTACACGTATAAAAACCTCTCTATCTTATTGTTCTTTTTACATGTGACTTTCATTCTTGGACACAGCAATGTACTTGACCTTGAGATGAGTTGAGCTGTATCCTAGCTACTTTTGGAATTATATTAAGGTGGCTATATGTGGCTAAACTTGGACTATTTTTACCAAGTAAACTTCCATTACTACTAGGCCTTTTAAAGCAGCCTGCCCAAGGTTTGTGACTTTTTTCTCCATCAAAAGTTGCGTCTTTGTGTATAGTTGAATTTTGGAAAAAAAGTATCAAGGTGGCTCTGCACAAGAAGATCTATAATACGCCTAATGTGCCATAGGAGAGCTACCTTAAGTGCGTTAGAGATACGACTTAGTCTGTTACATTACCGTGTTTATTTCTACAAGTATGGAATATTTCGTAGGAATCAGATTAAACCCAGCAGAGTTATTTCGATTTGTATCTTTAAAATAGACAATGTTTGACGGGCAATACCACCTTAATATATATCAAAAAGTGGTCCTATTTCCACAATCCTGGACATGTTGGTTGATGTGTCCAAAACTAAAATCCATATCTGAAAACCGTAAAGAAGATATGTGTGTTTATACATGTAGTGTTTATTTTTCTTATTTCCTTCAGATGGGACATGACAAAGGCAGACAACTATTATAATCAACCCCCCCACAGCTCTGACTCTGGCTAATGTTAAGAAATATGCATCAGATAACCCCCAATTTTGTTGCAAATATATGCCTTTGCTAGATGTCCGACTTTCTAATATTGTCCTTGATGAGCTCCACCTTAAAGTTACAGACATCTTGTTAACTAAGTTAATTGAAGATGCAATGGAGTTAGATGATAAAAAGGACTTCATGAAGAAAAGAGAGCCAAAGGGGGTCAACTTATGGAAACTGACCCAGTTAATCAACAGCTGTGGCATCACCTTCAGCATTTGGGAAAAGAGATGATGATGGTAGAGGAATTGGAAATCTCTGATGGGCAATGAAAAAAAAGTTGCTACATACCCTGCTGGATAAACTCCAGCAAACCACTGAAGAAATTATTCACCAGGGGCCAGTTGTTCAATGGTGGATTAGCGCTAATCCAGGATCGAAATTTAACCCTCTGTTTTAGTTTGTATATTTTTGCATGTCCATTTATTTCAAAATGTCAGAAAAGAAAACTTCTATTGATCCAGACATGGTTTGTGAAGAAGTATTTCCAAATTTATAAACAAGCTGTTATAGGAAGTTTCCTTTGAATTTTAAGTTAACCTAGGGTTAAGCTAATCAACTTTTGAACAACCGACCCCAGGACTGGAACAGTTATCAAACTATGGAAGGTAATTTCTTTTATAGTTTCCATAACCCAGCTGACTGAGCTTGAGTTACTTTATCACTTGTATTAAATATTTAATTTATTACTAATTAGCGCTGGAGTAAAGCTTTTATTTCAGAATGTGACATAGCATTCTGTCGTTGTAGAGTATACAGTCTGTCCTCAGTGTTCTCTCTAGTAGTCTGTCCTGCAGTCTTCTTTTCGGCCGAGTCCACCTCGTCATCTATCTCTGTGTCTTCGTACTCTTTTTTTATTTTTTCCTTTAACATCTTTTCTTGAAGGTGCCTTCTCAGACTTCTCTTTCTTTTTAATTTTTTCTTCTTTTTTTCTATGGCCTTCTGCCTGTGTTTCTGATGCTCATCGCAGACCAGACTTTCGCTGTTCTGTCTGAACTAGTTCAAATAAATTGTTTATATATTACAAAATTTGCAATTTTTAAAATATGTGTAGGTGCATCACGATTCATGCATGTATATATAAACCAGATTATATTTATGTAGACCTGTTTGTTACAATGTTACCACATGCTTTGATGGAATGAATATTTATAAAGTATCAAAATGTCTGTGTCTTCATATAAACATATACCTTGTCCTTGTTCATGTTTGCCTTCTATTTTGTAAAATAAGAGCAGCAAAATCAGTGGAATTTTACTCTTGTACATGTGTCCTTAATCCCTATCAGTTTTTTATGGATTATGGGTTATTATATCAAATATCACACTTTTAAATACTTTACCTGAGGCTATAGTATAGTAGAAGGGGAATACTGTATTTTATTGAGTAGATATAGTATAGTAGAAGGGGAATACTGTATTTTATTGAGTAGAACCAGGAACCTTTTCAATGCAATGATATCTGTTAACAAATAGCAGTGGCTGCAAGTGACAATGTTTTTCGAACTTTAAAGTGTTTATGCAATAAAATTTTCAACATCGTTTTCTTTCTCGCAAATCTAAAAGACCAAGGTGCCGTGAGTACCATGCAAAAAACAAAATTAAAATCCGACGTATAGAACTCATTTTATAACGTCTCAAAAATAGCGATTTTGAGAGTTACTTGCGAAAATCGCGGCTGTGTGACGTCACAAGTAGGATGCAATAATCCGCAAAATGTAAATAAACATGACGAGCAAAGGTGAATCTAGCCATCGCGGTGGCAAATATTGTGTCGCTGGCAAACCAAATAACGTGAGTTGTACGAATGGCCAACACACAAAAGAAGTTTCAATCCATCATTTCCCAAACGCAACTAAAGAGCCTAAAAGACACACGAAATGGGTTAAATTTGTTGGAAAACATCGACCGGGATGGAATCCTTCCGAGACGTCATTATGCAGCAGCCATTTTGAAGATTCGTGTTTCGAACAAAATAGAATTATTGCAGCTTCGCTGGGTATAAAGGATATATATTCCTGGGGCATAGGTAAATTTTCACCATTGCTATTTTTGGTGAACTTGGAATACACCTGCTTTTACTGCTTTGGTGACCAGGTCCGGGTAATACCCAAAAGTATGCCTGAGGTAATAGCCAAAGGTATGCCTGAGGTGGGGGCATACTGGTTTCAAACAATGTTTGGGGCACAGTATTTCTATTAAATATTATTATTTGCAGTTTTTGTCAAATCTTATATTAACAATATGCTAATGCTACTTGCCCCCAATTACGATCATTTGGGTCCCCTTGGATTTTTCCCGAAAATGTTGCGGAGAGGGGGGGAGGTTCCAAAATTCCCCCCCCCCCAAAAAACATAACCATAAAAAGTTTTCTCCCAAGAAAATACCTTAAAAACATTTCTTGGACAACAGAAGCTTAAAATTTTTCAAAGATAATGACGAAACAAAATTTTTTCCTGGAAAACAACACTAATTTTTGAAAAAAAACATTTGACAATTTAACCATTTGGGGGTCTCGTTTTGGAATTCTGGGGCCCCAAGAACTAAACCTAGCTAGTAATTTAGATACAGCACTAAAATTTGGGCTGTTACATTTAATACCCAACCCCTCCCCCCTGTCGAGGGGGGTTTGGTTTTTAAATGTAATAGCATTATGCTAGGAAAAATCAATAAAATTCTAGCAGATTTAGCGGATAATGTTAAAAATGCAATCCGGGCAAACATTTAAACATCCGGGTAGATTATTTAATCCTCCGATCAGCCCCGCACACTTTATGTAAGTTTAAATTATATGATCATGTAGACTGCATCTTTTGTTTGGACAACAAACATTTTGTTTGGAAAATAATAACATACAGCACCAAAGTAAACCTGGTTTTCATATGTCGCCGATGGTCGGCAAAGCTCTAAAGTACCATCAAATGATTGTCTTTGATCATTGATGAATAAAATCCTTTGTCTACACGAGTGAATCGCCGACCATCAGCGACATCTGAAACCTGCCTTAATAAGTAAAGACAATATTTTCAAAAGTTGACATTATTATCATAGCCATCAGTCTAGTTAGATGTGCTGAAGTTAGGGTTGAGAATTTATACTGTTGCATTAATATAAAAGTATTTTTATTTTTGTTGTAGAACATCTATTTTCTAGTTTGCATACATCTTGTCCATAGAATTATAATGTGCAAATTAATATTATTGTAGAGTCAATATTATTGCCCAGGAGTGTGGATATAAACCCAATTTTTTTGCCTGGGGGTTGGACTTTGGCACACTTTTTCTTTGCTGGGGTGGGGACATAGCTATTATCCTTCCAGAAATGGCTAATACCCCGGGGGATGGGCACTGCTGGAATTGACTATTTGACTGATACATTTGTCATTACGACTTATGTTATTTATATTAAATCGTACCTCAATGGCAATGCACTCTTCTTCAAAGTCAGAGGCATCAGGCAACTTTAGTTGAACTAGAAGAAAAAATATTCGAGATTTAACAGAAATGATCTAGAGTTTATCGTTAAAAACACATTTTTGATGTCATATTTTTAATATAAATGATTCGCTTGATCGTTTATTGATTGTTTATAAATACGAGTTCAATCCTTCAAATATCAACAAAAGTTTTAGCCATCTTATCCAGTAACACTTAAAAGCTGATAACAAACAGCGTTATCTATTAAACTGTGTGGCAACTTTGCTAAAAAACACTTTATACAACGTTATGTCAGTTGCAGTTGCATTATAGCCTCGCAGCCTGATCACAAACCTTCGTTTGCTGCCCTAAAATTCGCGGGTGAGATTTCTGAGTAAAAGTTCCTCAAACCGTCGATGCTCAGTTAGTAAAATTTTCTTAAATTTCGGGCGTGTTTTTGTCGTATGGCTAAAACAACCCTATATAGAGATATTTAGCGACACTTGTCATTTTTGTAGGTTATATTTACGCAGGACCGCAGGTTCGATTCCAGCAGGTTTGATTCCGATTAGTGTTAAGTGTTGCATTTTCCGTTGCGTGTTTAAATTAACACACACACAACCCGGTCCATGCATGAAACCAGCCTAGAGATCTCTACACATACAGTAGTTTATAACCAACCAACCAACCAACCCACCCATGCATCGTTTTATATCAATACTTTTTAGTTTATTTCCATATTTGTTTAGCTGTTTCGTTCGGTTGTTTCGCTGTTTCGTTTCGCCGTTTCGTTTCGCCATTTCGTGGTTTAGTAATGTCCGGGTATAAAGACAAGGTTAAAGCGTGATGCAATAACAACACTTGGCAACGCAAACGAAGTCATGCAGATTGAGAAATCACTTTCAAATAGGAAACGTAGAAAGGTGAGAATTTAAACATATAAACTGAATATATTAATAAATTTATATATGTTTGATACTCTGGTGTACAATAAACTGTAAACATGTTTGAGATTTCTGTTTTCATGAATTGCATTGTTTTGTTCTAGACTATGTGTAATATCACTCTTCAAGTAGGGGAACAAAGTACGCTAGAAGAGAGTACGTCTTCAAAAGTGACCGAAATCGAGGACATCGCATATTCGTCAAATGTACACATGTATCTAAAAACACGCAGGAGCCATTTTTGCCAAATGAGCCTGAATGTCATAGCTGTACAAAATTAAAGGCGAAAGTTGTTATGCTGCAGAAGGAAGTAAGCTAGCTACCTGACAAAGAGACGACAAGTAATCTCCAGAACTGAAAAAGTTAGAAACACTTTGTTTTGTTTACATTTAGAAACACCCTTGATTTGTTTACATTTCATTTGCTGCATATTTTTCTGGCAGGTAAATTCTCGATTTATATACAGTATAATAAAATAGATTATGTTCTGCATTGTTTAATCTACATTGTTTAATCTACAGCGCAGAACAATTAATAACAAAACTCTATTGAGAGATTATACCTAGGAGTTGTGGCTGGTCATGATTATTATAGAACAATAAATCTTGTGAGGTAAATACCCAACTATACTTTATGGCTGGCTTGTCTATAATTAAAGATAAGGTCAAGTCCGTTCTGCGCATGTGCTATTGTGTGGGTCCCCACATGTAAACATTGCCCATATTTTGCAATATTTTACATATTTTCAATTTGAATTGTCATTCATATTGATTTAAAAGCCAAACCAATCAGAATGAAGTCAGATATTAACTAAGTACAGTACAACCTGTTTTAAGAATAAAGTGTTCTCAAAGTGTAAACAAATCATGAAATCACATTTGTTTACATATGGACTTGACATTGCCTTTAATTAAAGTATGTTTGAAATCAACCAAAAAATAAATTCCAATTGTATGCGAATACACTTGTCACTTGTGATTGGTAACACAGAATATTCTTGCATTATTTATCAATATCCAAGTGATCATCCTCGTCCCCAGGCCCAAGCTCGGGCGGCCCTCACAGTGGCCCTGGTTCAGGCGGTTGATCTGCGTCGGAATTCCGACACAGAGGCTTGGTCGCACAGCATATGCCTTTCTCCCTAAAAACATGGCGACCGCAATGAATGCAACTGTACGAGGAAGGCAGAAGCAATATATTTTGCACTTGCAAAAACAAATAATACTCAAATTAAGTTAAAGGAAGA